GTGGGGGGATGGAGGGGAGTCGTTAGGTTTTGATAATATTTTAATGTTTTATGGCACTTGCAACACAAGCAAGTCATTTATAATAACAATAATTAACAACAACAACAACAACAACACAACAACCCTCCCTCCCAATCCCCCCCCCCCAAAAAACCCCAACAACAACCCCCAAACAAAAACAAAACAAAAACAAACCAACAACAAAACAAAACGAAACAAAAGCGTTAGCAGAATTTCTCAAAACATGGACTTTCAGTAGCCATGATATTAACCTTCCAAGTTTTCGTTTTATCGTCAAAGTAATATACAAAATCAATCGCTTACTCATTTTGTATTGCAGTATCGTAGCCTAAAGGATTCATTACAATACATTTATGAGAATCATAAAAAAAAAAATAACAATAACCTATGCAAACCAACCCTTCCCATTTCTTTTGTACGTACTTTAATTGTTTCCCCATTACAAAAATATTATAAGGAAAGACATCGTTTGTGAGACGTTACGTCCACCAATCTAAGACAACCAGTGTTCTCCTCAAATAGGATGGCCGTCAGAGACAAATATGTGTCACGACGCGGTGGAATCAGGCGCTCGTCAATTTTTGAAAATAACAATATAGGGTTATTGGTATCATCGTAAAGCCTCTTCATTTACCTTCCTTTTGGTGAAAACAAAATCCACGTATGTTGAATAGAAGTCGAAATATTTGCGAGTGAAGGAGGTCAGGGTGTCCTGGTTTCAGAGGTTCAAAAATTCGTCATGCAGCTTATTGTCAAATATCTCCTCAACCTTCCCATAAAAACTATCCAGATTTTGCACAGGGGTTTGTATGAATCTGTCTTACATATTTTTGTAAAGACCTGTTAGCTCTATTTTAGAACATTCCTTAGAAAAAATTAGAAAATCCCAGTGGGTTGTTTCTACAGATGTCAAATGGTTTACAGCTGTGACAGTATTGCTTTTTTTTTCTAATTGCTAGGTTGTGTTTATTGAACGCATATTTTGAGAACTTTTAGTGCGAAGAAGTGTACACTATAAAATACTTTCTTGTAACAATGATAGTACATAACAAGATGGTTCACTCAGCCAAAAAAGTGTCCGCAGGAAGTATGCTCTTTGCTTCAGATGGCGCTGCGGTCTGTTTTGAAGCTCTCTTTCGTTTTTCCAGAAGAAGAATAGGAATAGCACCTCCTTGCGTGCGCAGATCGACTGCTGTTCATCAGCAGTTCGGGTACGTTCAGTGCGTAGTTTTAGGTTTTTAAAAATTATAATGACCTCTCGCCTTTCATTCTAAAGTCAAATTAAACGAAGAAAACCATCACCCTTTCCTCCGGAAAAGGTTTTTTGTCAGCGTAACCATTAAAAAAAAGCGTTCTTCCGAAATTTATCCCAAAACATGCTAGTTTCACTTTGATTTTTAAAAACTCAAGTAGGGTAACTCTGTTCGCAAAGTGCGCTTTTGTGAAGAGGGCGCCACCAAATTTTGAGGACACTTTTTTAATTGGCTCAAAGAGAGAAGTGGCCCATCTTGTTATGTACTATCATTGCTTGTAACTAGATCTAGTTTTGTCACTAACAAGTTTCATTGACGAGCTGTGACATAGCCACATGCCTACGCAAAATGTATGGGAGAAGTGGGAAGTGCTGTGAACAATTCCATTTTCTGCGTGAAGGAGATTTGTAGTATCTCATATAGATTTGTGAAGAAAAGTTTTAAAATCTAGCCTCAACTGTTTTTTTAAAAAAAGGATTAAGTTAAGACAAATTGATACAAACTGGTGTGCAAAGTATCAAGAAAAGATCAATGAATGGAATAGAGGGCAAGAAGAGATGAATGAACGAAATAGAGGGCAAGAAACGATGGATAAATGAAATAGAGGACAAGAAAAGATCAATGAATGAAATAGAGGGCAAGAAAAGATCAATGAATGAAATAGAGTGCAAGAAAAGATGGATAAATGAAATAGAGGGCAAGAAAAGATCAATGAATGAAATAGAGGGCAAGAAAAGATCAATAAATGAAATAGAGGACAAGAAAAGATCAATGAATGAAATAGAGGGCAAGAAAAGATGGATAAATGAAATAGAGGACAAGAAAAGATCAATGAATGAAATAGAGGGCAAGAAAAGATCAATGAATGAAATAGAGGGCAAGAAGAGATGAACGAACGAAATAGCGGACAACGATTCACCGGTTAAAAAGATATTTGAGGATAAGTTGCGCCACGAATGTTTGACCTCACAATAACGAAGAAACGTTTCAAGACTTTCAGAATAGACTGCCCACCGACAGCTGTCAGGATGTTTTGTTTTGTCAAGTTCTACTTTCATGCCACTTTTTTGGGGGTCCAGAATGTCTTTATCTGTTGCAAAAATGTCATCCTTAAACCAGCTGGGGTTACCGGAAGTGCAAACAAAAACTGAGGACTTTCTGACAAGATAGATAGATAGATAGATAGATAGATAGATAGATAGATAGATAGATAGATAGATAGTATCATGGGTTAGAAACTACCTTAGACACAGGTCTAAGAGACTGAGCCCCCTATTGAAAGCTCTAAGCCTTGAACTGTGAAATAAAAGCTATTGACTAGAACTGTGATTGCCATGTCATTTATAATAATAATAGATCTAATAATAATAATGATAACAATAATATTGATAACAATAATGATAATAACAATAGTAATAATAATGATAATGATAATAGTAATGATAATAATAATAGATCTAATAATAATAATAATATGGATAATAATAATAATAATAATAATAATAATAATCTATATAGATCTACATGTATATAAAAGTGCACAAACTCCTCCCTTATTACTTAATCAACACCTTTGAAACTTTGCAGGCGTCCACAGCATCCATGTGGTAAGGACCTAACTTTCAAAAAATCAACGCAAACTGCTTTCCCCGGTTTTGCCAATATGCTTTGTTTCATCCACAAAAGTCCGTCTTCTAAGACGCCATTGTAAACAAGTGAGGTTTCTGTTCACTAGCAGTGCGCCAGTACTGATTTCTCACCATTGAAATTATGGAGCATCCAACCACGAACGCGGAATAGAGAATCAATCTAATCTATTTTATATTTGGTAATGATAATAGTAATGATAATAATAATAGATCTAATAATAATAATAATATGGATAATAATAATAATAATAATAATAATCTATATAGATCTACATGTATATAAAAGTGCACAAACTCCTCCCTTATTACTTAATCAACACCTTTGAAACTTTGCAGGCGTCCACAGCATCCATGTGGTAAGGACCTAACTTTCAAAAAATCAACGCAAACTGCTTTCCCCGGTTTTGCCAATATGCTTTGTTTCATCCACAAAAGTCCGTCTTCTAAGACGCCATTGTAAACAAGTGAGGTTTCTGTTCACTAGCAGTGCGCCAGTACTGATTTCTCACCATTGAAATTATGGAGCATCCAACCACGAACGCGGAATAGAGAATCAATCTAATCTATTTTATATTTGGTAACTTGGAAACACATGTGTCACTTTTCTTTTAAGATTTATTGCTCCATTCCAGTAGATTGTAAATAAAGTAAGCCAATGACTTCCAATTGATGTTAATGCACCGATTATTTGTTTCATCGAAAGGGGGCCCAGCTAGTAATAATAATAAAAACGATTGATACTTACGACCTTAGAGCATACATCAAAATAACATTGAGTGTGTATCTAGCTTACGATTAGTATTGTTTATATTGCTGCTCATTTACATTATGCATGTGATTATAAGCCTACTTGTGTGTGCATGTGTGTGTACGTGTGTGCGTGTGTGTGTTTGTGTGTGAGTGTGTGTGTGTGAGTGTGTGTGTGTGTGTGTGTGTGTGTGTGTGTGTGTGTGTGTGTGTGTGTGTGTGTGTGTGTGTGTGTGTGTGTGTGTGTGTGTGTGTGTGTGTGTGTGTGTGTACACGTGGTGGAACACCAAGCCAATGTGCCAGGATCTGGACAATAAAGGTGTGTCTTATCTTATCTTATCTTATCTGATATCACCAAAATCCAGCCCAGCATCCTCTCGCTGACTTTGTGAGATAATGGACGAGTATGCTTTCAAAACCAAACAACATGAAGAAAACCCTAGATCAGAAACGAACAAAGAGCACACAAACAAACTGACAAAAAGGAAAAAAACAAAAAAAAATAAAGAAAAATGAGAAAAAAGGAATTACACTTGCCTCAGATTCCAAGGGACACAACAGAATGTTTTACAAATATCAGTAAATCAATAACGCGATTATCTACCTTAGTCAGGGTCCCGTTTCGTTTTTCTGCTGCCCCCCCCC